ATGTTACAGATTTAATTGTAAGACTGTGAATTATTTTTTGAACAGTTTGAATAAGTACCTGAGGTTCATAGATCTCACAATGCGCCTCTACAGAATTATTCGGGTCAGGGGTTTTCCCAATGGAGTTCTTGGTTTCCAAGTAGTCCTGGAACCTGTAGACGCCCAAACACAAGCCTCGATGCTGAAAGGAGAAACCAAGAAACGTTAGAGCTAAACACACAACTCACTCTGCAGCTCATTCAGACTGGCCTGTTCTCTCTTTATTGCATTTTTGAACTTCAGCTGTTTTAGTTGAAACTTTTCTTTTATTTTCTCTGCTTGACTTTAAGTAATCCCGAACAAGATTTAATTTTTGTTAATTTAAAGATGCATACACAACTATTATGTTTCGATAAAAAGCCAGAGGAATTTATTGAAAGCTTAACACTGATATCACACCTGGCAAAAGGGAAACATTTAAATCTAGGGTTAAATTAGATAAAACTAATTATCTTTTTAGAAGATTCCTTCTCCCAGCAGTCCTTCTTTTTTATCTTCGAACGGCGCTCCTGTTGAGTTTGTCAATTCCTACAAATATTTGTGTATCTTGGTCCATTCGCATCTCTCTTTTAAGCCCCATGTCAAAAATGTGGTGAAGAAACTGAAAGTTAAACTGGGTTTATTTTTCAGAAATAGATCCTGTGTAACTGAATTCTAGAAAACACCTTGTAACTGTGACTTTCCTTCCCTTCACTGATCACGGTGACATTATTTACATGAACGCTCCTACAAGCACCCTGCAGATGTTGGACGCTGTCTATCACAGATTCATAACTGGCTGTAACTACCGTAACCATCACTGTGTTCACTGGTTAACTGGTCATCATTAACTTCATGCAGACTCTCTCACTGGTACATTTTCATCTTTAAATCACTTCAGTGTGCACTCTCAGGACATGCAGTGTCCAGTGAGGACTAGAAGGAAAATGGACCTTCTCCTACTCCGCTCCTGTTTCCTGGAATATCTGACAAAAAGACCTGAAGCTCTTGACCTTAAGTGACTTCAAAACATCTGTTAAGCCCCTGGAAAAAACTAACACAGACACATTCCCGTTTTTAGTATTTTACATCGCGTTACAATGTAGCTGTTACTGTTTTTTTTAAATATAATTCTCTTCCATTTATTTTTCATCAATTTCTATATACTTTATTTGATGATTGTCTTCTGTTGTCATCACTCTTTGTTAAAAAAAAGGTCTCTCTTGTAAATGAGTCCTCAAAGCTCAACGGGACTAACCTGTAGAAATAAAGGTTGAATGAAAATTACTTCAGGGGAATTAAGATTCCAGCAGCATCGTACAAGAAATAGAAGGACAATAAATAAATAAATAAACTAAACAAGAATATAGTAACAGCACACAGTGTCAAAAAGTGACCAGTAGCAAGTGTAAAAAATAATTCAAATTAAAATAAAATATCATATACACATAAATACAGATTTAACAGTAAATAACACTATGTACTGTAGTGAACCAGATAACCTCAAATCTACCAGATGGACAGAGACTGTTATTTTCATTGATCTGAATAAGTCTGAACCATCTGATGAACTTTCTTTCTTGAATTAATCAAGCAGAAAAGACAATTCTTTATAATCATTACTGTCTTACAAATGTTTTGATAATCAAATTGTGTTAGTTCACTCAATGCTTTACAGGTTGAAAAGAACTACTAATTTTTATTTTACATAAACAGTAAGTAATGATTTTTGTTCCTCATTCAAAGCAGAAATCACCTGAATATGCCTTTCTTGATTTTTCTGTCTGAAATGAGCAAGCTGTCGTAAGTATGTGAAAGGTTGGTCTTCGGTCAACTAAAATGTTTACTGAAGAAGAAATGTCATGTTTAAACTTTTTCAGAAGATTACTAAGAGTAGACTCCAAAAAGTCTGCTGCTTCTGCAATAATCTTTTCTGTATGTTAAACAAGTTTCATTCTCTGACCTCGACTGTTGATAAACACCTTACGTCAAAAACCACTCCTCTTTCTGGTCCTTCCACGAATCAGAAAGCTCTAAATTGAACAGGAAGTCGACCCAAATAAAATGTGGCAACTCCCCAGTTCAAGTTAGATTGAGAGTTCTGAGAGATGTTGGATTGGGAGCTGACAATAGGTCCGATAGTCCAACAGAATGAGCAGATTGAGAGTGCAACCGGTTATGAAGAGTTTGGAGTTATGAAGAACCAGGAACGTTTGGGATTATAATTCTGTTTTGAGCTAATCAACGCACGACTTTCTGAAGGTTTGGTAGCTCTCGACGGAGACGCTGAAACGAGTCAGAAAGGAACTACATCCAACGCTGATTCATCGTCAACAGGTAGATGGTTCTATTTTGACCAAGTGTACCGTGAGAAGCTGAGATCGGACGGAGCGTGCAACTTCTGGTTAAACAGATTAAATCTCCCTCACATATTCCTCTGTAAGATAAATCTCAATTTACTCTTAAACTCACCTCTCTCTCATAAAACAGTACAGATATTTTTAGAAATGTCTGAAGCAAAGTCCTCAAATCACCGCCGAGTGATTTGAAGTTCATTTTCTGTGAAACTGTCTGTTATTATTTTCATATTTTGCCAAATTAATGTAAATGTTTGATGTTAAACTTTGATTTTGAAAATAAATGATTCCATTCATTTGATGGGTCAAAGATAAATAACGTCTCTCGTTCACATTTCTGTTAAATTCAATGCACGGCATTTACAGTCAGAAAAATGAAGAACTCGTGAATATTGTATGCATATATAATTCATATATTGTGTCATACAACAAGTGACACGTACCTCATGTACATCACTACACTATGTAACCAGTTACTGGCTAGTTTAAGGAAATGGTGGTGGCTGCTGGAGTAATAGGAGTTTGGACAAACAACTGTTAAAGCTAACAAAAAATAAAATAAAAGACAATATCATTAAAAAGATAAAAGTTAAGATTTAAAATCATAAGAGACAGACAATACAACCATTTCTATTTATGTAACGTCAGCTGAAAAACCATTGATACTTGTGCTTATGTGTTACTTACAGCAAACTGACAATCCATGGGTGGGCAGTGGCTCAGTTCACTGATTTCAGTTTTGTTTGAACACACCGTTTCCAGAATGGTGAAATCCACTACGTAGGTCCAACCAGCAAACCACTGACGACAAAAACACAAGCATACAGTTACAAATGTCTGTATATAAGTACTTCATATTTCAACTTCCCTGATATACAGTATGTACAGTGTAATCTATCTATCCATCTATCTATGTGTGTGTGTGTGTGGGGGCGGGGGATGTGTGTGTTCCTGTCAGTAACCATTTGTATTCCGCTGTGTTTAAACTAGTGTTTAATGAGGTTAAATAGATTTTTTTATATTTTTTACCTGTGTTCTGTCTTTTGTAATATTTTCCAGAGTGAAGTAATTCTCCAGGTGAGACTCTTCATTAAACTTTTTCAAGGAGAGTCTGGCTGTTTCCATGACGATCGGGTCATTCGGTTCATTAGGTGTTGGACAGTCTGGGCACGACTCTATAACTAAACCAGGGGAAACTAACCGCAAAAACATTAAAGATATTAAACTCCAAAGTGACCTGGAGGGACAAAAAAAATCACAGCAAACACAGCAAACCACTGACATGATCATTCCTATTATTATTATTATTATTATTGTTATTATTATTATTATTATTATTATTATTATTATTGACGAAAAATTAACTCTAAATTGTCCCTAGGTGTGAGTGACATTGTGAATGTTTTTTTGTCTCGTTTGTCTCTATGTGTCCCTGTGATGGACTTGCGACTTGTCCAGGGTGTATCCTGCCCCTCACACAGTGATTGCTGGACATGGGCACCAGTGACCCCCGCGACCCAAAAAGGAAGAAGCGGGTAAAGATAATGGATGGATGTTCTCTCATTGTCAATTCATCCTTTTTTCATAAAGTTTCGAAATTGGGTCAGTTTGATGTAACAAGACTGTAGAGAAGCTGAGGAGCTGCTGCTGATGTCAGCACATACAAATGTGTATAAATCATAGACCACCACGAGTGTCTAAACTATTTAGATCTTTAAAAATATAATGTGTATGTCTTGTAATAAATAAACTCTTTAAATCCCCCCCCCCACACACACACACACGTTGGTCTTTCCATCTTTACAGGGACTTTGCATTGACTTCCTTTCTTTTTTTCTATCCCTAAACCTACCCATTACCAGTACATAACTATCCCTAAACCT